TTTTTTTTTATCATCGATAAGCAAATGAAATATTTAAAATAAAAAAGTTCATTTTAAGATTTAAAAAGATCCGATGTTCTAATCTTTTGATCAACGGAAAAAGGAAGTATCTTTAAAAATATATATATATATTTATTTGATATAAAATTAAAATTGAAACTTCTAAATCTTCAAATTGATTACTTGTGACATTTTAGTTTAATTTAAAACGAAGTTTTTTGTAATTTTCATATTACTGAGAACATTTTAGAGATTCTAAGGTGCTACTCTTTTTTTTTCTCTGAAGATAATTATATCATACTGTCGCTTCAATGCTTTTGAAAAGAAATTTCCTAATGTAAAAAAAAAAAAACACTGAATGTAATTCAATAATGAAATGTATAGAATTTTTAACATGACGTTGCACATGAGTTAGTAACAATCATACTGAATCAGACGATATATAAAAAAAGAATTTTCTCGAAGCATGTCATTCAACGTAACATTTAATTAAACCTTTCTAACATATGCCGTGCGGTGTAGCTTCGAAAAGAAATTCCACAATGCAATAATTACTCTGAATAGATTCTGACGAATCTTTGAGATTGTCAGCAGCATGCGTCACGTGTAACACCCTTTTTTAATATTTCTGGTTAGCAACTGGCAACGCAATTCGCGAACCGCATCATGCAGACGATTTAATTCCCTGTTACTACAGACTGCGGACACGGCATTGATTATATTTTTTGTTCTTTTCGCTTTTCCCCAGCCTCTTCAATTCCTTTTTAATACATCACATAAATTCGAAAACTTTTCTCGCGTGCGAAACGAAGTTCTGTTTTAGCGATCGACAAGTTTAGATCACGCAAAATGCAAAAAAAAGAAAAGATTTTTTCGGCAATGAAGCGTGTGTTTTTCGACGAATGATTCGGTGTTGTGAATCATTGGATTGACCGGCCTCACACGATGATGAGTTGACCACAAAACAACGTGCCGCATTTATTAGGTAGGGACAAAACACTTTTGAAGGTTATGGCCAATATTAAGTAACAGCTGCGACCAATCATTTCTTCCATCAAATTTTTTTCTTTTTTGAAAAATCGCACCAAACCGTCTATTTTTATTTTCGATTTTCACAAGGACAGGATGCTGTTAACCGAGAAAATTATATTTATTTTCTGAATGGTACCGTCACTCAAAGCTTAGGACAACTTAGCAATCACAATCGTATTTTTTATAAATACAACTAACTTACATTCCCGCAACAGCCCGTTGTGGGCCAGGGGGTTAAGGTGGTTAAGACTCCACAATTTCTTGACCAACGACATGATTGTGACAATGTGGACAGCTTCAAGCCATCACTGGGGATCGAACTCCAGTTCTTCACAGTGACAGCGCAGTGCCTTAACCACTGAAGCATCTGGCACAACTTGTATTGAAATATGCTAAAATTTACTCTAAAGGAATATGCTTAACTCTAATTGTGCAAAAATGTGCAGAAATCAGCTGATATGGATAAAATTAAGTTATACAGAAATGCATGGGTTAAACTTCAACCGAAATGTGTAAAAATTAAGTAGTTAATAAATATGCAAAGCATCAGCTTTTTAAAAAAAATGGGATAAAATAAATTTTTTTTGGAAATAAAATTCAATGAAAATATTTGCGTAATTAATTTACGTTAAATTAATTTAGGCTAAATTAATTTACATTAATAATTTACGTAAGCGTGGTTTTGGCAATTTCGTACTCCCTCAACCATTTTATCTGTAAAAATAAACAAAATACAACTCCGTCCCTTGCTTGCTAACATAAGAAAATCACAACACTTGTTTCCTGTAGTAATTTAATTTTAGGATAAAATTCATTGAAAACTTTGCATAAATAAAATTGAAGTTGAAGTTCACTTTTACAAAATTTTGAGTACCTTCAGAAATCACTTGTGTTTCCTTTCTAAACTCTTGACCTCTAAATCTCTTAGAAGGGATTTTTTTCTGAATTTTTTTTCCTCCTGAATTTAACTTTTATTTGAAATTCGGAAATTTTATAGACATCCTCCTGCCGTCAAACTGTGGGAACTTTTCGTGGTTTCGTCTCCATGTAACGCAAATGCGAGTTAGTTAGTTCCACCAAAAAGTCCTCCACTGAGGCAAAATTTATTCCAATAATTGATCCTGGAGTTCCCTTGTCTTCTGGATTGGGTTCAAAATTACAAGGCTATGGAGTTATCAGTACTAAACCCAAACTTGGGTCGGCTGTTCAACGACGGTTATAAAATGAAATTTTTAAATATTCGAATTCCACACCCGACTCGCACCGACCACAGTGGTTACGCAAAATATCTTTGGTAGACAGATAATGAATTCGAGCACTTTCCCCGTCGGTGTAACTGTGAAGGGTTTTTGTGAATTGCCTCTCCATATAACGCAAATACGTGTTATTTCCATCAAAAAGTCAGTCCCAATAAATGAGGGAAGAGTTCGCTTGCCTTTTGGGTAGGGTTCAAAATTACAAGGCTGCGGTATGGAACATTGGTAGGCCTAAACTCAAAATTGGATCGGCTGATCAAACAATGCTCTAAAATAAAATGAAGTTTTTTAATATTATATTTCTGAAGAAAAAAACTATCACATTGATTTTATATATGCAGCGTCATTATATATCTCTAAAAAAAGTCCTTATCAGTAGCTTGAAGGATTCTTCTCGTGACGACGCTGCATCCGTTAGCCGCAGGTAACCGCCTACGTCTGTTTACTTTCCAAATGAAAATCAAATTATCGACGAATTCCTCCTCCTCTTGCATAGCCCGCATAGAAATTAAGCTGCAATCACGACATCCATTTCCCGTTGGTGGGGAAAAAATACACGCACAATTCTTCGAATTAAGCATGAGAGATAAGATCTGTAAATAGATATATTTCAATATGATTATATAATAAATTAAATAAATTAAAATTCTGTGTAATAAATATGCTAATATTTACCGATTTCAAAGCTGTCGAATGTAAAATGTATACTAAATAGGTTTCGTTAAATTCGAAATCGTTTGGGATTGTAAACGTACTTGTTCTCAGTACAATACGAAAATAATTAAGTAAGGAGAAAGAAAACAGCCTGAGTAACTTATGTTTGTGTTGGTCCGGGAACTGACCTCATGTCAAATAGGTCTTGGGTTTGAATCCCTGACAAGGCATGGGTGTTTCCTTCCTTCTCTCAAGGATGATTGTGAGCCTAAATATTTAAGTCTTTATAAATTTAAATCACTGATATTTCAAAACATGAAATTCTAAATAAATTGTAAGCAGCATACTTTAAATGAATAATTATGTATAAGTTTACTTTTATCTCTAATCACATTTATTATTCTATCAGAAAAAATAAGGGAGATGCTGAGTATAAATTCTAGTTCTAATATTTGTAAATAAAATAGACAAGAATTTTCATACGTAAATGAGATCGATGATTTCTTGAAACTTCTAGATCTTGAATTCCCGGAAACTTCTGGATCGCAGTTAGCGAAAAATCTGGATATCCGGACTTTTTCCGGAGCACAATCATCTCTGTTATCTTCTTTGTAGTATCTGTCCTTGTTACTGTAAGAGCAACGATGGCCCACCTAGTATGGTGCCCTTGAAAGAGTGGCCAACAAATCTGCCTTACTGATACCTCAATGACGAGTGTCAATCTGGTGGCCAGTGGAAGAAAAAGAAAAAAAAAAAAAAAACTTACGTTTGTTTATACGGATTACACTGGAAAAAAAAAATTTTTTTTTTCTTCATTCATACAGATACTTGATTTTGCATTATCTGGGTTTGGGTATTTCAAATCTGAAATTAGTTTTGCTCTTATAAGGCTATCGATTTTTTTTCAAGTGCTATTTTTAGTCTATATTTTTTGTGGAACTATAGATACAAGTTTAAGAACGTTATTTATAACAGGTGGTCGACCAACTTCAAAGGGGAGTACTAGCACATCATCAATATTTAAATTGAATGAATGCCAGGAAATATCGTCATACGCAGTTAGGGGGCTTCCCTATTATGACCTGTTCAGAAACACAAGAAGAAACAGTTCATAATAGGGAGACGTTGCTGGCGAGTTTGGGTTCCTATGCAATTTTAATCCCGATGATGTGCTGTAACTCCCCTTCAAGTTTGTCGCGACAATTGGGAGACCTCCTCTTATAGATGACGTTCTAAAACTTAAAATTTTCTATGAAAAATAGACTAACAATTTAAAAAAAAAGAGAAAAAAAAGCAATTCTTGGTGAGAGAAACCGACGGCAGATTTGATATCAGCGATAAGAAAGATCTACATAAAAATCTCATGAAACAGGGGAGAGAAAAAAGTTTTTTAGTGTTATTATGCACTAGGACTCGAGCAACTAGGATGAGCAGATCTAGAGCTTTATCACTCATATAATGAACCTGACATCATTAACTTTATTAAACGTCAAGGAATGAAATGGGCAGGCCACATTATCAGAATGGACGAAGACCGTTCCTCAAAAAGAGTTTTCAATGGCAGACCAGTTGGCACATGAAAAAGAGGCAGGCCGAATTTGAGATAGATAGTGGCCTATAGGTCTTAACCTTTTGATCTTAAACCTTTTGGTCTTAAAAACTGAAAATTTTAAAACCCAAGCAAAAAAGAGGTTAGCCTGGAAAAAAGTTCTTGAGAAGGCCAAGGCTCACCCTGGGCTATCGAACCATTGATGATGATGAATAATGAAAAACATTTCAATGGCAAGGCGTATAAATTTTTACTGATTAATAATGTAAGCCCATCTTTTATAAATTTCTTAAAATTTTATTTAATAAAATTTTTCTATGTCTAGTAATATTCCCGTAGAGAAACTTTGAGTAGGTCAAATAAATTTTTTTTAAAATTTTTTCATCATCATATAAATGAAAATAAAATTATCTTTTTTAATAAAATGATAAGTTGCCATACTTTGATGGAATGTTTTCTATATCGGTAGGTAAAAAAATATCAGACGATATTTTATTCCATTTACTTATCGTCTGTCTTGAGTCTAGGACAGAAAATACTTTCCATCTTTCTTACCTGGTTTTACCTTGAGTAGTCTAGACTTGCATCGCTATTACTTTATCCAAAATAATATTGTAAACATTATTTAGTTTACGGTTTTGTTGTAAAGCAAATGGGACCATTTTTTTCTCATTAGTTTTTTTTTTTTTTCCTTAAAAGGTTAAAAGAGTTAATTTGTGTGTTGATTGCTTGACTTTTAGTGTAAGTGAGATTTTGAATTGTTTGTTTATCAATTTTGTAATTTTGTGTTTATTATCAGTTTAGAATGCAAACTTTACTACGAAAATTATAATTTTTATTGTTTTTTTTTATTATAAATGTTATTTTTTATTTAAAATATTTGTATCTTTTTACTTAATTATTTGTAATAATAACTAGTATGCCTACTTAAACTTACTAACTATTTTTATTATAAATGTTATTTTTTATTTAAAATATTTGTATCTTTTTATTTAATTATTTGTAATAATAACTAGTATGCCTACTTAAACTTTTATAGTTTAAACTTACTTGTATGAATAAGTATATGATTGTATGAATGAGTTCAAAGATATTTAATTTCTATCAATAATTACTTTTAAAGGATAAATTAAAAAAAAAATAAAACTTTCTTTCTTCAAAAGTTTTAAGTTGAACGTTTTAATAGTGCAATGAAGATTTTACTTCAATAAAAGCGTTTTATTCAGTTTTGAAATTAAAATTTGTAACGTAAAAGTTTCATAAAATTAAAAAAATTTTGATAAAATTAAAGAAATTTCAAAAAAGGAAATTGTTTAGAATGAACACTATTAGAGAAATAATAATACTAATAAAGCAAAACCAATTCCACGGGAATCAGAATAAATAACAAAATTTTTGAAGATCGATTTTTGTAGTTTTTCTGAAAAACATCTTAAAGAGTGGTCATGAAAACTTTTAAACGATCAAAATTTTTTTAAAAATATTCTTTAAAAAAAATAAAATACATGAACAATTGTAAAACGTAATATAAACGGAAGAAATTATTGAAAACGGATTCAATAATTGGTTTCCTTAAAAAAAGAAACCAAGAAACCTTTAAGCATGAAAGATATCATTATTTTTATTTATGACAGAACGGATATCATTTTTAAAATTGTATATCATCTTCCATTAAACTCTTATCAGGAAATAGTTAATTCTAATAAATTTTAAGATGAAAAGAAGAATTTTTTTTCTTTTCTTGTGAGGCAGATGGCTTGCGAGATCACATTCTCAAAAGGTGTACTTAGACTGTTGCAATAGCCGATGGTAAACATCTGTTATCCAATTACATAAGATTTTCTGCGCAGCATTGAGACATTTTTTTTTTCCTTCTCAACATCGTCTTACTTAAAAAGGTTGTTAAATATTCAAGATATTTTTTTACGAGCTCTGTTTCTTACCTACTTTGTTTTCCTAATGAGTTTGCAGTTGAATAGTACGTTTTTAAATTTATTTCTACTTTTTTTTTAATAAGTTTTTTTTTTTTACTTTTCCGAATTGAAATATATTTTGATTTTAAGATTTTTTTTTTCTATTTCTTGTTTTATTTATTTATTTATTTTATTTTTTAAAATTTTTTTTAAAATTTCCAATGCCCACCTGTGTTAATATTTCAACAATTCAGGCATTTACAGGGCAGATTTGTTTACCACGTTTTCAGGAGCGCCATATTAGGTTGGCCAACGTTCTTCCCACAGTAAGGACAGATATTACAGGGAAGAAGAACATTGATGCAGTGTCCGGGATTCGAACCCAGAACTGATGCAAGGCCAGTTTCCTGACCCCTATACAGTCTGGTCGATTAGTGTTTTTAACCTGAAAACACTTTTTTTTGTTGATATTTTTCGATGTCTACATCACTAGAAATTTTGAACCGTATTGAAACACAATATCGTTCAAATTACTTCGTTTCACAACATTTTTAAGGTTGTTGTTAATGTACACGATTTTATGGTAAGGATCCAGGAGTTCTCTTGTCTTCTGGATTGGGCTCAAAATGACAAGGTCACGGAGCAGACTACATGACTATATCGGTAGTCGTAAACTCAAATTTGTGTCGGCTGTTCAACGATGGTTATAAAAGAAATAAGTGAGAGATAGAGCTCTCGTCTCCAATGAGGTGACTCGGGGTCGAATCCCAAAATTTCAGTACAGAAAAGAAAGTGAAATACTTTCTGTTAATTACTTTATTTCTCTTCATGAAATGAAAATGAGTTTTATTAGTTTTGTTAAACGTGGATATGTTTATCCAAAATGTTAATTGTCATTTGTTCATTCTAAATGACATCCTTTTTTTCTTCTTTTCTTTCGAGCATAACGAACAGAAATAATCTATCCGAATAAAAAAGGGTTATTTTTATACTCAAGTAAAAGAACGTAGAAAATGGCACGGAAAATAAACATAAAAGTTTTAAAAATGTCAGCTTTTTTTCACCATAAACAAGTGTCATCATCAATGCAAAACCACAGAAAAAAAATTGGAGAACTTTTGTTTTCTCTTTATTCTGTAACTAGGATATAATGGCTTGGGTAATCAAAACCCCAACAAACATTGGTGAAAAGATTTTCAAATCTACATTGAAAAGAAAAGTTATGGTCGAAACTACTAAAGCATGGTAAAATTTACCGTGTTTCTGTCTTCATAGGAGCAAACAAAAAGCACTTCAATTTTTATCGAAGCACTTTGGTAACGACTTCCTGGTAAAATTAACAGTAAAATTTAGTTTTATTGCCGTACTGTTTAGTACTAAATGTGGTAATATTTGGTAATTTCATCATGATTCCTTAGCATGACATAAAAACCATTTATTCCGTTAAATTCACTTTTCAGTTTTGTATTTTTAATTATATGTGAGGTAATAAGAACTGTAATTTTGAAAACCGGAATTTCAGTTAAACAATTACCATACGAACGGAAAGATTACCAAATGAATGTTTTAAATGCCGGATGTTTTCGTTTTATTGCCAGGATTTTTTTTCTTCGTGTATAAATTCTGAAGTATAATTAAATATGTTAACTTTTCTAGATAAACGGAATCAATCTAGATAAACGGGAATATGTTTGGCTGATTTCAGCTAGCGCCTCTGCTCATAAAGATATCATCTTTTACATGAATCTTACAGTGAGCAATCTTGCAACTCATAACGATAAAAGATGAGACGTGGTGGCTCAGAGGATAGAGCGTTCGCCTCACCAATGAGGTGAACCGGGTTCGAATCCCTGTGATGGCTGGTCGATACGAATTCCGAACTCGGCTCGCACCAACTACAGTGCTGACGTACTAACAGTAAGAGCTTTTCGTGCTTTTCCTCTCCATGTAATGCAAATGCGGCTTAGTTCCATCAAGAGAAGTCCTCCACGAAGGCAATTTTCTCCCGATACTTGATCCAGGAGTTCCCTTGTCTTCTGGATTGGGTTCAAAGTTACAAGGCTACGGGGTGGAACAATAGTAGTCGTCAGACCAAAACGTTGGGTCTGCTGTTCAACGACGTTATAAAATAAAATAAAATACCTCGGAGGGTACTGCTCCTGGAGTTCTCTTGTCTTCTGGTTTGAGCTCCAAATTATAATGCTACGGAGTGGAACATTGGTAGTCGTAAACTTAAATTTGTTTCCACTGTTCAACCACTGTTTTTCCACTGTCACATTATATATTATTTGGTTTAACGACGGTTATGAAATAAAATAAAACTCTATGCAAATCAGGCAAGACTACTTTTATGTTTAAACAAAATAGCATAGAAAAAAAAAGTTTCTAAAGAGGTAACAGTTTTGGAACTATGAACTATAAACAAATGTCGTTATTAATTCCTGGTTACTGCATGAAGATGACTAAGAGGAAGATCCACGTTCAGTTAAAATAACAATTTCTAAATTTTCCAAAACGGTTATCGATTTGGATAAACTTGCATATGTTTGCCTGGTTCAACTGTTTTCCATATTTAATGATATTCCGTCCTTCATGTAGTAATCTAGCAGAAAGGGGAACATTAGGTTCAACAACGGTAAATAAAAAAAAACTAGTATTTTTTTATTTTATTTTGAGATCAATAGCAAAATAAAACAAGCTTTGCATGTGTAACAGTAATTATAGTTGACCAAATAAAGAAAAGACAGAAAGCAAATAACTATTTTTCCTCAAAGAAAACGGAGCTCAGAGTTCATTTATTTCAGAACGTTTGCTTGTAACTACTAATTTTTGGACGAATGCAGCATCGAGAATGTATTTCTTAAAAGAAACTATTAAAACCTTTATTAATGATGAACGAATAAAAAAAAATAACACGCCTGCCACGGCAATGAAAGAGATTAAAATGATAAGGTTAATTTCTTCATGAGATTTACAGATTTTATTTCGCAAAACCATAATTTAGTTGGCATTAAACCCATTAACTTTGTCAAGATATCACCTGCAATTTCCGTGCGAACAATTGTTCTCAGTGTTGTATATCACAGATTTAGAAAAGAAGAAATTAAAAAAAGAAAAGGTTTATTGAATTTTTCTTTTTGTCTTGATTTCAAATGGCTGAAAATACATCCGTTTCAAGACTGAATCAAACCCTTTACTTCCGTATCGGGAACTACTCAATGTTTTTCACAGGTCAAAAGCTCAAGGAGTTCCACAAAAGTTGGTATTATTCTTTTTCCACCAAATGTGTTAACTTCGGTTTCACAATTTGTACTTTACTTTTTGAACTTAATGACATTTTAGCGGATGTTTCAGAATTTTCAGTTTTGGTTTTTTTTTAGTTGTCATGGCTTTGATTATCAGAGATGGGCGTCTCACAAATATCGGATTGCGATGAGGAAATGCGGTGCGTGAGGTAGGGGCCCCTTTTTGGGGACTGGTGCCCCACTTCGTGCTTGGGTACCTTTCCCAAGCGAGACTTAGTGTAGGCGGGGGGTCGAAAAGCGTTGTTTTTTTTCTTTATATCTTGCGCAGGAATGATCACTAATTGCAAGCTCCAGCTGAAAAATGTTTATTTTATTTCTCAATGAAAATTACCTTTGAGAAAAAATAAATAAAGGAATTAGTTTTGATGTTCAAGTTTTTTTCCCTCTTTGTTTAGCCTTGACCAGATTCAAAAGAGAACAGGAAATTGTTCTGCTTTACCTAAAGCTTAGAATTCTACCTCATTTCGCTCACACAAGATAATTCCTTTCCTTCGAAATAAAATGTTAGTGATATGTTATAAAA